TAGTTGATTATTTTTGTGAAAATCAATTTAATAGTTGGAATATTTAAAAACATTAACAATTGGACCAACTCATTTTGATTAGTTGATTATTTTTATTGCATTAATTGATTAGTTTATGGGACACTTAATTAATGTAATTGTTGCTCATAGGTGATCGATTAAATTGCCGAGCTATCTCTACTTGTTTCAGTTTTCATTTAATGAGGAAATATAATAAGTTTTACTTGTTTGCATGCTGTAAAAGTGATCGTGCTTTATTTCTCATGATCAATTCTGTGGTTTACTACATAGAAATTGGTGATAAAAATATTAGTATCCCATTTATTCTCATTCAAGCTTATGAATGAATTTTCCAAATTCAATAAAATTTTTACAGAAAAGTTTAGAAATATCAACTAATTTTGAAATCAATCTGTATTCGTCGTAGCCTGAAATGTAGATACTTTTTTACAATTTTCACTAAACACACTTTAGGACAATGAATTAAGCAATTAAAAGAAAAGGGCAAATAACCTTGTGTTTGGTTTTGATGGAATATAGAAAACATCAAATAGATATATGACCTATATCTACAAATTACTTAAGGGTTTAAGACGATAAATTAGAAAAGTTGTCAGTTTGAATAAACATAAATCTGTATTTGTGGAGAGAGAGATATAAACTATTATGTATACTAACCTAACTACTAGCTGTTTTATGTTTATGAGGATGAACTTATTGTGGTTTATTGTATAAAGAAAATGTAACCAAATATCGTTATCAATATTTCTGTTTGATCAGAAACATACAGCATTTGCTACATTTTCTTCACCGCAACATGCTGAACAAGCTCTGAAGAGACTACACCAGCTGAATGTACTAGAACGCCGCCTGGTGGTTGAATTTGCAAAACCCCAACAGAAGAAATATTTTCCTCATGAAGGTGACTTTTCAAGGTTAGTAATAAATTATTGACTACTATACAAAAAATAATATTTCACCACTTCTCATAACATGGAAGTATCAGGTGACAAGAACATATTTGTTCCTTGTTAAGGAAATATTTAATTAATATTGTTACTTGTAATTTACACAAAATATCAAAAAATAAAATTCTAAAATAACAGTTATTGATGATTTTATTCTAAACATTAAAATGTCTGATTTTTCATCTCTTGACATTTTAACGAAAAAAAAACTTGGTGCTAAAATTGGGTTTCAATAACCCCAAAGGACAGAGGACATTTAGCCCAATATGTAGCTTTGTAATTAAAAACAAACATACATATAATGGCATTATTTTGATTATTGGATAGTTGGAATAATCAAAAGCAGTAATAATTGGAAACTCCAATTAGTTGGTGTTTTTTATGAAAGTCAACTTAATCGTAATTTCAATTGTTCTATTTTTAAAGAAACCAGAAACAGTAATTTTGATTAATTGACTAGCTTACATTATGGTGGCTCTTGTTTTTGAAAATCATAAATCTCCTGCTGTCACTTCTTTAATCTATCACATTTCATTAGAAAACAATTATGCAAAATTTCAAGAAAATTGAGATTTATTTATTAGTACCTCACACATGCCAAAAGTCAATCACAAAACTTGAAGTTTTTATTATTGAACAAATATTTTTTTTAGAACAGTTGGACAGTATAGTATAAATTGATCAGCAGTCAAAAGTTGATGTGATAACACTGAAATGAGGTCCATGTTTGTGAATAGTTTTTTAGAAATGGACGAATAATGAGCTCGTACTCTAATTTAGGACTGAAATCACAGTGTACCTGTAATCGAGGCACAGCTCAGAGAAAATGTGGAGGAAGAACTGCTGTTGTTCCTTATCGTAAGTTAGATGGTCATTAAACTCTTCCATCAGAGCTCTGCTTCTATCTGCAGTGTCATTGACCACCTTTAATCCCTTGACAATTTTCTGGGTGGCTTTATAGTCCTGACCTCTCGATCCTTGTGAAAGAAGCCTTCAGAGAAGAGCCTTTTCACCTGTTGCATTATGAATGCACTGGGCTTTCTGGCCACTTCAATATCAGAAATCTGCAGCTTAATCCTCTTCAGTGGATCCTCTCTTCCTCTGACCTCCTCTATACTTGTAACATGACTTTTCTAATCAAGGGGGACCAATTGGTCAATGAACGCTAGGCCAATCAGCTCTTTGCATAAGCTATTAAGTACTACCACTGCTCTAATAATTTCTCTACAGCACCATCAATGACACCCTTGTTGATTTTGGAGTACTTCTGGAATCATTCCAAAACTTCAGGTCATTCAGTGGGATGGAAGTAGGTATGGAAGCTGAGAGCCAGGCTTAGATGTAGCCCTCTGCAATGGCAAAGTAAAGGAGTTCATGAAGTCCATTCTCCTCTTTTGCTGTAACCTTGAATAATCCACCATCTTCCTTTAACTGAAACTGAAGATCTTGAAGCTTTAGAACAAGTGAACCATCCATTGTCCTCTATGAAGTTCTGCTAGAGATTGGAAGCAAATTCTTACAGGACACTTGCCACCTGAAAAGATGATGATCAGATGAAGCAGTTTTTGGTTATTTTAGTTGTATTTCTTCAAGCTGCTACTAGACAAAGGTGAGAACTTTTTATTTCTTGTCATCTGTGATCTTCGAGGTCACTTCTTTATCATCCAGTCCTGTCTAAAACTTGGCTGGAACAATGAGACTCCACCAATATTAGAAGCAGTTGAAGAACTGGATGTCTGGCCCTGAAGATGCTGCAAATGCTAGTGTGAAAATTTTCTTGAGGACCACCTTGAGCACGTGGAAGTGAAATGAGAATCGGAGCAATCCCTTTCCAATTTTCTGATCCAATATGGTGGAAGCTCCAGCTTTGCGATCTGTGTTTACAGAAGTCATGCCAGAAGTAGATTGGAGAGGCCCACACTTTGTATATGCAATCACATGGACTATTGTAAGAAAGAAGGGAAAAGCACATATCAAGAAAAAGTAGTAAAACCTAAAGGTTGATGAGGTACCTCTAAACACATTCCAATTTTGATGAAATTTTCCAGGGAATAGTTTTCACCAAATGAAATAAAAATGGGGTGAGAGGTCAAGATTTCATATTTTCCTGTTTTACCATATCTATACAAACCACTTTAGTTTTCTTGACACTAATCGATGTAACCACTTCTCGTAGGATATCAATTCAATCATCCAGCTCTAGTCGTGATAGGTATAACAGTTACTTCCATGTTCTACTTGATATGGGACATACCAGGTCCCTGTAAAAGCCTGTAGAGTCTAGTATTGTTCAAATAGTTACAACTGAAATCAGTGTTGAAGCAGAGGGCAATAAATAATTTTTTCTTTTTTATTTTCTCAATGAGATGATAAAGAAACTGATAGAAAATGGTAAAGAACTTAAAGAACAGGTACATAAGCTGGGACAAACAAAACATTTGGTGGAAATATCAAGGTCTTTAATACTCCATAGTGTAACTTGCAGCATTTTTTTATGAAAGAAAATAAAAACTGTTAGTATTACAAAACTTGTAAAATTTAGAATGTTATTTGAATGCTTTCAGTATGACTTGTGTATTCTTAAAATGGAAGTGGTATATGTTCTTATAAATTATCTTCAATAGGGTATGTGCATAAGGAATGCTTTCTGTAAAATATTTTTGTAGGATATATTGGTCCCCCAGTCTTGTACAAACATGCAATGACAAGTGTAACCCAAAAGCACTGTAAGGGTTAAGAACTTTCACAAAAAAAAAACGTGCACATCCTTTTTTTATTAAATATCTTGATGAATCCAGTCATTAACCCCATTTTATCAAAACTTTAAACTCCAGGGTGTAAGTTGCTTTACCATTTGGAAACTGTATTGAATATAAATACTTTTATGTTTAATCATTTGATTTTTTAAGGCAAAGTCAGAATGCAATGTGACAAGAATTGTTTTCACCTATGTCTGTCTGTCTACGTTTCTAAAAAGAATTATTGCAAGTTAAGTGTAGTGTCAGCAAAGAAATCAAGGGAATGAGTAGTTATTTCACATACGTGCAATATTAATGTACTGTTTGTATACATGAAATTTTTATTTCAGTTGTTTCCAAGAATTTAGCTACCATCATTTAGAATGGTTGTTACAATTTTGTGTTTCAATACTGTGTTGTACAAAATTGACCTTTCTAAAAAAAAGTTTTTATTATATTCTAGTCATTTATGTTTAAGACTATATGTTGTTAGTTTTATATGGAAGTATAGTTTCTATACGTTGGTAGTTTTATATTCGAGTGTAGTTTTCTAGTAAGTATATTTATATTATTTAATAATAAGATGCCGTTTTAGCCAGTTTCTTTCTGGTAAATTTATGTCCAATTTTCAGTTTTGTAACATTTTATAGAACTGAATTAATGGAACAGAAAGTACTTCCGGCAAAGGAAATGCCTGAAAGGGAGGAAATCCAGTCTAGAATGGCAAAATTTAAGTTACAGTTGCATAGTGTTGCTCCTAAACTTGGGTAAGTATAGTTTTTATAAAAATATTTTTCTGTCAAAAAAAAAAAAATATATATATAAATCATGTACAGTATGTACAAAAATTATTGATGGCTTAAATTATGTATTAAAAATTTAGCTATGAGTGAGATTAAGTTTTGTGGTTTGATTTTGTAGGGAGTTTAGTTTTGTGTGTTAACATTCATGTTTTAATTGTGTAGGTTTTTGTTGTTGTTGTTATTTAATTTTATGAGTTGTCTTTATTCCTAATTGTTTTGTAGGGTTTTGTTTATTATGTTGATTTTTTTTTATATATTTGATTGTGTTTGGTTTTATTTGTTTAATTGTGTGGGTTGTTTTTTATGTTTACTTGTGTATTTTTTTTACTTAATTGTTTAGGGTTTGTTTGTTTAATTGTGTAGGTTATGAGATAAACATAGTTTATTGTTTTAATTTACATTGTTTGGGTTATTATACTTTAATAGTTATTTGAATTTTATGGTTTGTAATATTTGTAATTCAGTGATCAGTGATATGGCTGTTAACTTTGACTTCTTAAATTCACCATGTCTAGGTTTTTGATTTTGAAAAATTATTGGTTTGGATTTTGTACTTAGTTTGTTAATTGTATTAGTTTTAATCTTGTCCGTTACTAGATTGGATTACCTTCCTTCTCCACTCCTAAAGTACAGATATCCTCCACCAACACCAACGATTCTGTCCAACATCTGTCATGCATTGTCTGCTGTACCAAAGTTTTACACTCAGGTAAGTTTGAAAATTCATAACTTTGAATTAAATTGTAGAAAGTTGGGGAACAATTCTGTATTGGTGTTACTTGCCCCTTATCTGAAAGTGTAATTTACACCATTTACAAAAAATACCTCAATTTACATCTTATCTGTAACATCTTCATCAAATTATTGGTGGAGCTTCGTAATTTACCTAAGTTATAAAGAGACAGTGCTTTGAAAAATTTGTTGATTGTGACAAGTATTTGTTGGAACATTATTAAAAATTTTTTATCACCCATGAAGCGTGATATGGGGGGCAGGGTTTATTTTAACGTGCAATAGACCCCTACTTGTGCAGTTCTAAATCAATTTGTACAATTCTAAATCTAATTTTGTGCAGTACTAAAATTTATAATAAAAACTCCAATGTCACATGAAGAAACAAGAAGCCAATGCATGACCATGATACTGAAAAACAAAAGTACCTTTATTTACTGTTTATATGACAAGAAGTATATTTTTAATTTTACATATGCTGATTAGAACTTTCTTTCAAAATTTTTGTCAAATACTAAGATGGTTAAAACTTAAAACACTGTGTTTATATGACAAGAAATATATTTTTAGTCTTACATATGTTGAATGGTACTTTAGTTTACATTTTGTGTCAAATACTACATGAGCTTACATGGTAAAGGATGGTTAAAAGACTTAAAACACTCATAAATGCAAAAACTATGCTGAATTGTACTTTAATTTACATTTTATGTCAAACACTACATGGTAAAAGATGGCTAAAACAGTAAAACTTTCATAAATTCAAGATTTGCAAATAATGCAAAGTAGTATCTAGCATATAATCTAAAAAACATCTTTTTTTCAATGGCAGTTCGGCTGTATCTGATTCTGGATCAAGACTGTCATCAGCATTAATTTTCTTCGCTTCAGAGAATACACCTTTAAAGTAATTTTGTTCCTTTGCTTCAGTTACTTCTCTTGTTCGACGTGCCTTTGTGGAAAGCCAGGTGAGAACAGCAGGCCATAGATCCCACAAGTCAATTGGAGACATATTGTAATGGACGTATAAATAATAATTCTCTGTCTCTAATGTCATTCTTGAGCAATCTATGCTGGAGCTGATAAGTCTCTCCACATCTGCTGAATGTGGCTTTGCTGCCAAAATTCTGGCATAAACTCTGGCCAAAGTATCAAAGTGCCCACCTGCAGCTAAAAGCTGGCTGATTATTTTTGACAGGGTTAGGTTAGAGAATTGCCCTGACTCTGTGAAATCGTTGTACTCCATACACAAAGCCATAAGATCTAAATCTGGATGCATAAGTTTGTGGACTGTCTCTAGGTTTGCATCCTTTTGAAATTTGAGAAAAGGAACCAAAGTTTCCAAACGCTCTTTGTTAGTGCTAAACCTTTGAGTTAAAAATTCTTTTAGTGCTTCTGTGAGCTCAACCTTGATTGCTGATAAATCGCATCTGTCTGTAACAAAAAGATGATGATCTCTTCTCTGCCTTGGTTCATCACTAGATAGCTTATTTCCTTTCAGCATATAGAAGGATCTCTCATCACTTTTGACTAGCTGTGACTGTGCTTGATGACTAGACACCCAACCCGCTAAAAGAGGTGTCTTCTGGAGGTTGCCAATATTTGTCTTCACAAGTGTCACCTCTCGTTGAATGTCGAGTAGTGTAATATTATCAGATTGTATTTTATTCTGAAATCTTGAAAATACTGCCAGCACATCAGCTATAAATGCAAGCAATTCTAGATTTGTTTTGTTTGTCAGGAGAGTTTCAAATCCTTTGGCTTGTTTGTCTTGAGACTGCTACATATACAGTATTAATGCATGCCATGATTCTAGAACAGAATTCACCAGGGAAAATGTGTACTCACTCCAACGACCTTCAAACACTTTTGGAATGGACAGAAATGCTAGATCATTTGTCCTGGCTAATTCTTTCAACTATCAGAAACTAGATCCGTGACTGACTTCCAAGCTAACTGAGTGCGATGAACAGCACACCAGATTTTAAGTTTTGGGATTTCAGAGTCAATGGAATCAAATAATGCCCACAGACCATTTCTTTCTCCAGTATTAACACTGGATCCATCAGTTACTATTGATGACATATTTTGGAAAATATATTCTGTAGTGGGTTCACCAACTGTGTTTTTTCAGGCCGTCTTAACTGCATTAAAAAGTCCTTGTGCTCCAATTATTTCAGGTTCTGCTGCACCTAAGAACACCATTTCATCTTCACCAGTTTTGCTAACTAGCTTTACCATTACAAAGATCTTGTCTATCTGAGTTCGTTCAACTGACCCATCACATATAAGGGATATTGCTATGGACTGTTCTATCTTTTTTGAAAGTGAGGCCCTGTCTGCTTCCACAATACACTTTAGCATCTCCAGGTGGCTAACAGGTGAGACATATTGCAAGTTTTGATCAATTTTTGCCTTAGATTTATCATTAAAGTTAAAAGACTGTGACTTCCTGCTCACCACCATTCTCATAGGAAAAGAATTTGCAGATAATTATTAGCTAACTCTTCATTAGTTTTTGAAATAGCCTTACCCATTGGGGTTTCTTTCATCAACTGGGTTTTTGAAAGGCTACCGTATCTTTTTTTAAGCAACACAACTTTATGGGCAGGTAAACTAAAATGGCACTCTCTCTAAATTGTGCCAGTATCAATGGCAATGGAAGGCATCTTGCATTTAAAGGTAAACTTTTTGACCGTATCAAGGTCTTTTCTTCATAAATCACAACGAACGTAATGTCGCCAATTTCTATGGATGTGAATTAATACATCTCTTACATTTGCAGTACCGGGAGTTCGCTTGGTATTTTCTTCCCTTTTCTGCGATTTTGGCATGTGTTGTCCACTAGAACCGGTGCTGGGCTCAGGATCAGTGGTTGGCATGTCCTGTCCACTGGAACTTGTGCTGGGTTTAGGCTCTGTGACTGGCTTGACCTGTGTACTAGTAGTGCTGGGTTCAGTATTTTCCCTTTCCCCTCTCTCCTTTGCAGACTGCAACATTTTCTCAAGTCCATTTTTACATAAAATTTGACTCAATTTTAATATTGGACAACTTGAAACAAAAAACATAATAGTATTACTCTTAGGAAATGAACATTACTTGAAATTACTTAACAGCTTCCAACTTAATAGGCTTTATCGTACACAGACTTCACAGGCAAAAAATAGTGTCGTACGAGTTTCATCAACACGATTGAATTATGGAATACTAGGATAAAAGCGATCCATTTACTAAATTACATATAATATATCAAATTTACAACTACATTAGGTATTTTAAAATACTTGCCGTACCTTGGATAGGTGACAATGAATATCAAATACGGGTAAAGTGAAACGTAAAACTTGAACAACTTGCCAGACCACTATCATTCACAATGAATATAAAGCAAGTAAAAATTATTGACAACAAAATCTATAAAATGTTAAAAATAGCCATAACAAATGCTTCTCAGACTCAGAGAATCTCAAACACTGGGTCATGGCACCTGCCTCATAAATTTGTGCAGTTCTAAGATTTCCTTAAAATAAACCCTGTCCGGGGGGTGGAGGGGTGATAATATTCATGGGCACCATGTCTTTCCTGTGTATGGGAACATCTGGTAGTATAATTAATTTCACTGTGTTTGCAAGAATTAAGTTTTGGAAGTAGACAAAAAGGTATTCAGGTATATGTGTTTATAGAGCAGTTGTTTAAGGTATTCAATTATATGTGTTTATAGAGCAATTGTTTAAGGTATTCAGTTATATGTGTTTATAGAGCAGTTATTTAAGATATTCAATTATGTGTTTATAGAGCAGTTGTTTAAGGTATTCAATTATATGTGTTTATAGAGCAGTTTAAGGTATTCAGTTATATGTGTTTATAGAGCAGTTGTTTAAGGTATTCAATTATATGTGTTTATAGAGCAGTTGTTTAAGGTATTCAGTTATATGTGTTTATAGAGCAGTTTAAGGTATTCAGTTATATGTGTTTATAGAGCAGTTTAAGGTATTCAGTTATATGTGTTTATAGAGCAGTTATTTAAGGTATTCAATTACATGTGTTTATAGAGCAGTTGTTTAAGGTATTACGGAATTTGATTTGGTAATGTGCTATACAGTTGCTAAGTAATTTACAACTTGTGGTGGGAATATTAGTTAGACATGGTTCAAAGGGTAATAAAACAATGAAATTTAAGTTTGAACAGATGTATACTATTATGAGCTTTAAGCTATTATAGGTAAACAATTGTAGTTTCATGTTACAAGTTGTGGTTATCCTAGGAATTAAAAATTGTAATTTAGATTTATTTATCAATTTTTTATTGTGGTTCTGAGGTCAGTCAAACTCACTGAATGGAGATAATTAAGGTAGAGAAAATTACAGATAAGATGTAAAGTTTTACTGAAAAAAATACTTGATACTTATTCAGGAGGTTTTAGAGATTATGCAAATGGAATTTCACAATTTTTAGATAAAGAAAAGTATTTCTAATCTTAACATGAAAATCACTTTGCATTTGGAATAGTCAACACACTGGCTCTGTATGTTCACAGACAAACTTTTAGTAAAAATACTTAATTGAAAAAATATGTTTACTGAATGCTTACCAAACTTTGTTAAGATGTAAAATATATAAAATTTATAGTATGGAAATTATGAAAGTCAGTTTGGGGTCATGATTTCGGGCAAATCAACTGAGCCTGTAGTAAGAGAGTTAATAAAATTCACCTATATCAACTGATATTGTAACTTGTTTTTGTTTTTTTTAATCTGCCATGGATTGAAACTTATTTAGATATAATATCTCAAATGTTTCTTCTCATCTTGAAAGTGTTTTTCAAAATTCAAATACTTTGCTGTAGTGTGCCAGGCCTCCCAGCAAAACATTTAGAAAATTATAAATTTGAAGGTAAATTAAAAACATTTCTGCAAATATTTAAAAAATTTTTAAGCTATATTTTTGAATGTTGTAATTTAGATGTTTGCTAGAGGACACATGAAATGTAAGATCAGAAAGTCTAATAATGTTGACCTAGAAAGTTTTAAAAATTTTGGCATCAGATTTTTCTAGTAAATTCAAGGATAAGATTATAAATATGAGGGGTAGTGAAGCAAAATATAGTGTTGTTTCTAGCCAGTACAGTGGATAATTCAGAAAATGTTTCTTTTCACCTGTTATCTTGTTTCAGTTATTTGATGAAGCAGCCTTAAAATTTTATTAGTAAGTTTATTTTTACAATAACATAGCACAGTTAGTGTGACTATAAATATGGCATACAAGTTACAATAGTGTAAAACATTAAGAAATAAATAAACTAATTTCTTATTTTTATAATGTGTGTTTTATGGCATTTAAAACACTTACTTTTGTTTATATTACATGTACTATGTACTTCAAACTTTTATTTTACACAGTCTAAGTTACTTGCTCTCTGTAAATGACTAAAATAAATTGTTACATCAATTCATATTCCATGAATGTTATAATGCCTTTTGTTCCCAATATTTCACCATTTGGTAGCTTGTAATTAATTAGTTACATTTATGTTCTTACACACTACAAATAGTCTCATACTGAAAACCAAACAATATTTCAAACTTTGGAGCCATTTCTTGCTGTATTTTCATGATTCAGTTGTTTGATACTTGTGAGCCAACTTTGTTGTGTAGCAAAGAGATAATCTTTGTTGAATACTCATGTTTTGTATTAATTAATTAATATCTAAACATTCCAGGATCAAAGTACTTAAGTAATTAAAAAAAGTTGTCATATGGTATTGACTTTAAATATCATTATACAAACAATGTAATAAATTCAACCTTTTGTAAGGTTCTTCATCTGATGAATAAAATGAACCTACCTGCTCCATTTGGTCCTCTGACTCCTACACCACCTGTAATGCCAGATGTTCAACCATCTGTCAACCCAGTTGGAAAAGATATGTTGGAAGAAGAAGAGATGGATGTTACAACTTCAGAAGAAGAGTCTGAAATAGAAAGTGAAACAGAACAAGACAAGTAAGTTGTTTTTTTTTAAAAAGAGGAAGAAACAGGTGTGGTATTAAGGTAAACAAAGTTCTGACATAAAAAATATAAAGTATGATTAACATATACAACACAGGAAAATTAACAAACAAGTGCACAAATAAACAAAATCCTAATTAATACAACAATAAAACATATTCTTGGTCTCTAAGTTTTGTATAGGAATCACATCTATGCAAAACAAAGACAGAAGTAAGAATCATAATGATACCACTTATTCAAATCAGTGAAAAGTCCTATTGCATTACTTCACAATTCTAGATGACCTATGTCAGTTATTCTCATTTTATGTTCAATGGAAGTATCCCCCCAACTCATACTAATGTGTACAAGTTGCTGTATCACTACTTGAAACGAGTACAAATTTTACTTCAAGAGTGAATGACACAAAAACTGAGTCAAGCAAATATAAGCCTTACTGAACAGTTTCATGTTATGAAACTTTTATCTGAGCAAGAAGATTAGTACAACTTTATGACCTTTATACATTAATACAAATAGTCCTCAAGTAGCTTTGCACAAAACTCAATGTAAGGATGCTAACTGAATACGTGCAAAACTTTTATAAAAAAATTACCTGACTAAAGACATTATTTCTTAGATATAGAAGGGTGAAATTAGCAGATCCTTGAACTGTGACATGGGTAATGAGATAAGTATTTGTATATTGTATAGAGTAACAAAAATATTAACCTTGAAAATCAATTAAAACTTTCCATTATATATTAACCCAGACACTGTGGTTTCAATGAGTAGTTTTATATACCATCATGCAACAGTGTTTAGATTGATAAATTCTAAAAGATAACTTACAACAGTGCAAGATATTGGGAAATTTTTCACTAGGGAAGAGTCCATTTTTGTGTGCTTAGTAAAAAAGAAAGCCCGATTTCTTTTATAAACCTGGTAGGAATATAAAGTTGGAAAATACTTTGTTATCAATCTATTTGGAGTAGCGAGAGAAGAAATAGCTTGAAATTTCATTCTTGAACTGATCATAAGAATATTCATTGTGAACAGAAATGTTTCATCTTTTTTATGAGATGGTTTGTTGGATTACCATGCTGTTGAAAGGAAGACAACTGTCTTAGAGTTTAATGACTTAATTTATAGAAGGGCTTAGATATACATATGGTGTGAAGATACAACATGAAAAAGTAATTGTAGGCAAGATAAAGCATGTCAGTCACACTGTATTACAATTGTTTTTATTAAAATAGAACTTATCTAAGATGTGATAATACAACAATCAAGATATTTGTAACAAATCATACATTGTTTTAGCTAAACAGAAATTGAATTTCCTTTTTAGAAAAGAAAAATTACAACCCCTTAAACGTCCTACCCGTCGAGTTAAACGAAAGTTTAAGAAACCTAAGTTACAGCAACTCCAGGCTCCTTCTACGACAGTAACTGTTCGAACTGACCCTACAGAAGTGTTTGAAACGCCAGTGGGATTTACAGAGAACCAGGCTACTAAGAAAATCCAATTGAATATTAAGCCTACAGAGGTGGAAGTGTTAAATAATAAGGGTGAGTTTTACTGGTAGAGAAACATTTAAAGAAATTGCATTTTCATATATGGTTTTATATTTTTGCTCAACGGTAATGATCTCTGAACACACGTGTTCATACAGGTATGCCAAGAGCCATTGTGGTCGCTGGAGAAGAATTTATATGTATTTGTCATTCCCTTCTAATAGTTTATGGAATGATGCCACATACATGCACAAGTGTTTGAAGTCATGGTTAATGTTAGCATCCCCTTCTAATAGTTTATGGAATGATGCCACATACATGCACAAGTGTTTGAAGTCATGGTTAATGTTAGCATCCCCTTCTAATAGTTTATGGAATGATGCCACATACTTGCACATGTAATTAAAGTCATGGTTAATGTTAGCATCCCCCATAATAGTTTATGGAATGATGCCACATACATGCACATGTAATTAAAGTCATGGTTAATGTTAGCATCCCCCTCTAATAGTTTATGGAATGATGCCACGTACTTGCACATGTGATTAAAGTCATGGTTAATGTTAGCATCCCCTTCTAATAGTTTATGGAATGATGCCACGTACTTGCACATGTGATTAAAGTCATGGTTAATGTTAGCATCCCCTTCTAATAGTTTATGGAATGATACCATGTACACACACACAAATGACTGTAGTCATGGTTAATATTTGTTGAAATGCTATGTACTGCTTTGATACATTTGTTACACTTTTTTTGCTGCTCTCATAGGTCCTTTGATAGCCAGTGGGCCCTGGGGGGATGTGCTTAGCCTCTCAATAGGCCTTTTTATTTATTAAAATACATACAAAGAAGCATACACATATGAATGTACTTAAATGAATGACATATACAGATGTACATTTAAAGCAAAAGTAAAGCCTAGAAGCTCATTTTAAGCATAGTTTATCAAATAGACTTGTGTCTAAGTAGATATAAATTATCCACATAGCTTTGAGCTTGTAGTTAGGCCTATATGTAAAATATGATGTGTAAAAGTAGATATTATGGTTAACTCCAAAAACAATTTCCTTCCTAGTAGAACTTTATCATTAAAGAATAGTCTAAGTTTTCAGAGGTATGCTTTTTTTCACCAAATTAAAGAAATTGTTACATTTACAGATTATTTGTTCTTGTGAAAGAGTTAAAAGAAAAACAGTTATCAATCTTATATTGTTGTTTACAATATTTCAAGTAGAATCAATTTAAATTTCAGGTTCTAAGATAGTCTTTATTGTTTTCCAGATATTGTTAGTGAAACCAAAGACAGTGTTTGTGTCCAAGAAGGAGGATTTGGTATGCTAATTCCTCAACAGGATGTAGTACATGATACAAAGGAAGATGATGAAGATCAAAATTTGTGGGTTGGATCAAAGTTTGTGTCGTCTGATGAACTACAAAAAAATAGAATTACTAAAGAAGGTAAATAATAGTGGTTTTGATATGTCATTTCGTGTTTTGTGTTAGTATTAAAAACCAATTTCTGTATGAAAGTAGTTTATATGCCTACGTATATGTGCACAAGATTAAATCCTGTGTAATAGCAACATTTGGATTATTTATCACAACAATTAATTTAAACTTGATAAGTTAATCTTAAATCTCCAGATAGCCAATTAAGGTAGCAAGGTTTGTGAATAACTTTGTTTTAAATTTTAATTTTGTGACGGTTTCACATTAATCTTTATATCTTTATTTAGTTTGAAAGTTACCGCTTTTATCATAACAGCTTCTCAGAAAAATTGAGAGTAAAATGATTCTGTCAGCACAGGAATTGATACAGATTCCTTATCTGGTCAGGTGGTTAGGGCACTCGACTTGCAATCTGAGGGTCGCGGGTTCGAATCCCACCAATCATGCTCGCCCTTTCAGCCATGGGTCGTTATATTGTGACGGTCAATCCCACTATTCGTTGGTAAAATAGTAGCCCAAGAGTTGGCGGTGGGTGGTGATGACTATCTGCCTTCCCTCTAGTCTTACGCTGCTAAATTAGGGATGGCTAGTGCAGATAGCCCTCGTGTAGCTTTGCGCGAAATTCAAAACAAACAAACAAACAATCCTTATCTGGTCAGCAATATTACTTTTTTTTATTTATTTACCTCTTTTTGGGTTATTAGGATGTGTTTTTATTGTTATTTAAAGGAGGATTGAGCCTCAGTGTTACGTCTAGGTTTTCTATAACATTATGTTGTTAAGTATTTCTGCAAGATATAACACACTATGAGGAATAAGAAGAGCTGGCTAGAAGGTCATGCAAGAGAAGACTAGGCATTTATTGGTCTTTTTAAAGTTTTCAGTGTTTTCTTTAGTGTATGACTTATTTAGTTTTGTGGCAAAGGTTGATTGTATCTTGAGGTCCGGGATTATTTGGACTTTTACAGAAAAAAGAAGTCTATCGGTTTTCAGAAATTATCAGGCAGGAGAACCATCTTCCAGGCTCTATATTAAAAACCTAGCCAAACAGGTTGTTGAAAAGGTGTGTAAAATAAAAATTATATGCATTGTTTTGTATTAAACTAATGTACTGTTATGTTGTTAACGATTCACTGTCAGTTATGTACATTGCCATCTTGCTAACAATGTGAAATGATACTTTGCTAACAATGTAGTGAATTGCGTACACTATGCTCTTGTAAATAGTATAATAGTAGATTATGTACACTTTCATATAATATTTAATATATTGAGAGTTTGTATAATATTGTGTTAAACATTATTGTCAAGTAAAGAATAGATTTAGAGTTATATAATCATCTTGTAAATAGTATAATAGTAGATTATGTACACTTTCATATAATATTTAATATATTGAGAGTTTGTATAATATTGTGTTAAACATTATTGTCAAGTAAAGAATAGAGTTAGAGTTATATAAT